CTGGGCTGAATCGGGCCCCTTCTGGCCGCTGTGGGTGTTTTCCTGGGGCACCCGTTGGCCTCTGTGACCCAACTGGGAGCCCGACGGGGCCGGGTGCGCTTCCTGGGTGGTGCTTGGGGGTTCGTGTCTCTTGAAAGAGGCTCCCTTTCAGCCTTCGGTTTTGGTTCTGTGCAGAAGCAGAAGGTTGAGGGGGGGACCTGGGAGGGAGGGGGTCAACCCACTGACCACCCACCACCTGTTTATGAATCCTGGTCCTGTTTGTAGGAGGGCTGGGGGTTCATCCCAGGGATTTTTAGGAGGTGCTTTGACTCCAGGTTCTGTGGTGAAGTGGCTGTGTGATGGGGCCGGAGTGGGAAGGGCTCCAAGTTAATGAACTTCAAACCCTTTTTCCTGTCGCATTCTGTCGTGTTTCCTGCAATGAAAACTCTTTCTATTTAAAACGGCACCCTTTCTTGCTTTACTTTCTCAGTCTCTGTAGCGTATGCATGTGTGTGTGCGGGGGTGTGCGCGCACGCCTCTGGGCTCATTATGCAGCATTTAAACAGAAAAGCCACTTTCCCTTCCTTAGTGAAGGAGGGGAAATTATTCACTGGAATTCAGTTTCTCTCCCCATGTGCCTCTGTGTGCCTGTGTGCGTATTGCATTAATCACACCATTGTTCCCCAATTTGTCACTGAACACACATTATGTTAGACTTAGTGGGTCAAAGGCAGTTTAACGCAACACATCTTGTTCCTTCTCATTATTTTGGAAATTTGTTGTGTGTTGCTTTTTCTAAGTTGCCAACACATTTCAGTTGGGGCGGGTCGGCCTTCTCTTTCTTGTGTCAGGCGGAGGTGTGTGGTAGCCCAAAGTGACCTTTTCTGGGTGCCTGCGTGTTGGATGCCCCACACGAAGGGGCCGTGCAGGCATTAATAGTTAACCCCTTTACACGAGCATCACGAGAGGTTTCTCAGCTTAACGCTGGCGACTTCGTATTTGATTGTGAATCTGAAATGTTGGTGCATTTCACCCGTCATGCTCTTACGCGGACTCCTTTCCTCCAGTGGGAGAGAGTGTGCGCACGTTCGCGCGCGCGCGCGCACACACACACATACACACACACGGGGGGGGGAGGTCAGAAGGCTTGAGCTCTGGAGAAGGAGCTTATGGGAGTGACCTAGTTATTATGTTGTCACCGATAATGATGGGTATGGAATGGGGGGAGAGAGAGAGAAAGAGAAAGGAAGGTGAATGCCCCCCCTCTCCTGTGGGGAGTGTTAAGGTGCAATTGTGAGTGCCAGCCCCACGTTCCAGCTGCAGATCCCCTGCGGCTGCTGGATGGTCTCGCCAGAGCCCTGCCTTGTATCCCCCGTCCTTCTCACATCCTGCCCTTCATCCCTGTCTCTGATAAGAGCCCTCGCTGCCTTTCCATTAACAAAACCAGGGGTTCCTATTCTGTTGTGAACCCCCTAGAGTAGTGCTGAGGCACTCATATATTAAAGTGAAATAATAAACAAACAGATAAATGGCCTGGCAGCAACTTTTGTACAGACCTTTATCGGTGTGTTATCAGAACTTTTTCCCCCTACAAAGGCATTTGGATGGGGAGGGGGGGCTTTAAATCAGGCCTTCCCCGATTGCCGCGGCCAGTGTTTATTAAAAGTCCGTTGAAATGTGGCGCTGGAGGATTGCTTTAAGAGTACCATCGCTCACCCAAAATGCAAATTAAAAGCAAGTGGTGGACCAAATCAAGCCGGATCTTTTCCGAGGAGCTGATAGGACTAAACCGAGGCTAGCTGACTTTGGATCAGTCGTGAGAGGACAAAACTGGCTGGAAAAATATGAGGAGTGTTGTGGAAGGTTGAAGGCACCAGGAAAAGAGGAAGACCACATGTGAGAAGGTTTGTCTCCCTAATGGAAGCCACAGCCTTGTGTTTGCAAAAATCTTATCTAAGGCGGTTAGCATCAGGATCTTGGGGAGGTTCTTCATTCCTAAGGTTACCATAAATCGTCACATCTAGGATTGATGGAATACGTTTATACTGCCTGACGTAGTGACCGTGCTCTACTCTGAGCAGTTAAGAAGAAATATAAGTCAATCAGCCCCTCTCTGACTGAGCAACCCAAAATAATCGACCATCACTAACGCCCAACAGAAATGGAAAACTAAGAACCGCAAACCCAGAGGGTGGTGGAATGGGTCACCCCAATCT